CTGGCAAATAAACATGTTGTATATATATACATTAAATCTATATCAGGTCTGAACACACTACCCTCAATGAACTAAGAAAAACTGGTATTGATCATTTCCTAAAGTTATAATTTGATCAATTCACACTTTTTTTTTACGTAGATCATATGATGACTGTGGCAAATTGATGTATTAACTATCCATCATTCTTGACATTTTGAATAAAATTTTTATCTAGCCGAAAATTAAAAAAACTGTACCATTTCGAACACTCATAGACGTATTTCAGCCATTCAAATTTTGAGGAAAGCTTTAGAATGTTCTAGAACAGTCTAACGAGAAAAAGTCTTCCGATTGATTAATCGCTTTTGAGTCGAGACTATGTGTATCATGTAGACTCTGATGAGCTATGAATATAATGAAAAGAGCTTTGGTTCTTAGGTGTATAAATGTGAAGATACTGCATTTTTACGGTTTTTCTTTAAACTTAATATCGTGGTCTCCTCAGGAGCATCAAAAAAATTTATTTTCAAATTTCGACTTGAAACTTTGCATAGAGACAGATTTTAACGAGAATAGTTTACTGTGAAAGTTTCAAGTCTTTTGATTTGCTTCTATCCTGAAATAAGAATATCAAATCTTCCAGTATTTATAAGCAGTGTAAAAGACTAGCTTTTACCATAGCTGTATCTTATGATATAAACAACGAAATCATCTAAAACTTTCCTAATAAACTATTCTCGATGAGTTCAGTCTCTACAAAAAGTTTCAAGGCGAAATTCGAAAATGAGTTTTCCTAGTGTTCCTGAAAGGGACTACGGCATTAACTAAAAAATACCGTAAAAATGCAGTATCTCAGCAGCAATAGGCTCAGAGCTCGAATTCTTTTCAATGTATTCATAGTTCATTAGGATCTACATGAAGCACATAGTCTCGACTCAAAAGCAATTAATCAACTGGGAGACTTCCCTTGTAAGTCTTGCTATTAATGCTTTTCAGCACCTTTTTCCATTTCTAGAGAACTCTGGAAAAGGAGTCTGACACTTGTTTTTCTGAGCTGCTACGCAAACATACCCAATGATCGTTGACCTTTACTTCCTGTGCTAGAGTATAGTGTGAGAGACTAGAAATATCTCGACTTAAACTTACATTCACTATTTCCTCCGAAAATAAACATGAGTTTCACAAAAAAAAAAATTTGTACCTAAACTCCAAATATCTGCTAAAACACCATGTCCAATTTCTTGAATTACTTCAGGTGCCATCCTAATCAAATATGCTTCGAATATATATTTCAGGGCAAACATTCTCAATTCTTACCAAAACGGTGTTCCTAAATAAAACAAAAAGAAAGAAAATCTTTTTAACTACAAAAACAAAACAGTTATTTTATTGTAATTACCAATCATCGTATTTCGTTTTGCCATTGTATCCTATTTCAAAAAAAAATCAAAAGAAATCAATAATTATTCGCCCAAAACTTATTAAATTTACTGTTAATTGTCCAGCAACACCAAAATCTGCTAATTTAGCATGACCTTCATGTGTTAAAAGAATATTTCCTGCTTTAATATCTCGATGAATTTTACTACATAAATGTAAATATTCTAATCCTTTTAGTGTATATTTTAAAATAACAGCTATTTCTTCTTCATTTAACTAAATAAATAAAATACAAAAATTAATTTTATTCTTTTTGTTTTTTTTTGTAAATAATTACTATTTTTCCTCGAAGTTTTATTATATCTGAAACTGAACCAGCTCCACAATATTCCATAACAATCTTTAACAAAACAAACAAGGCATAGAAAAATTTCTTTATCATTATTTCTTTTACCCATAAATCAGTATCTTTAAAATAACTTCCAAAATATTTAACTATATATGGTGAATCACATTGTTTCATTATTGAAATTTCTTTAACTATTTCTTGTAAATCACTTTCAACCGGTACTAAAAAATTAAATATGAATTAAATGAAATAGAACTAATTTTATTGCGTACTTTGTTTTATTGCTAAAAAATGTCCAGTTTCTCGATGTTTTGATTTAAATACATTTCCATATGATCTATATTTATTAAAACAACAACAAAAAAAAGAAGAACAATAATAATATTATTCATTAATTAAATTACCCTTTTCCAATTTTGCATACAATTTCGAAAACATTTTCCATATTTTGTGCAAGATTTTCATCTGTTAAACGTTCAAATATTTTCGCCATAATTTATTTTTATCTAAAATACAAAGATAATTTTGTATTTAATCTATTTTCTTACAAGTCCTCGAGCTTTATTTTTAAAATCAAGATAATGTTGATTAACAAATTTTGTATCAACAATGTCACTATATAATGGTAGAAAATAGATATAACCATTTTTTATAAAATTTTCATCAGGTAATTGTTCTAAATGTTGAATATTTTTTCTTATATATTTGACAAGTGTAACAAGACTTTCAAGACGAGTAGGTTGAAAATGACGAAAATGTCTCCATATAGCAGCAGCTAATACTGTATCATCATCCACAAGACCTTCATCTAATGCTATCATAAATGCATTCATTTCTGCACGTAATTCTTCCAATTGACTACGACGAACTTTGCCTTGACCAGGAAGAATTTGTTGAGCACGTAAATCAAGATCTGTCCACATAGTACGTGCTAATTGACGACGAAGAAATATACCAGTTGGACCTAAGAAAAAAGAAATAAAAATTGAATGTCAAAAATTTTAGTCACTCATAAATAAAAGGTCATCACAAACGAAAATATCAATTTTGTTTTGCATTGATTTCTATCAAAATAATAAAATTACGATTTGCTTTTAGAAATTTGACTTAGAGAGGTAATTATCTACATTCTCCAATGATTTGATTCTTTCGAAAATAATTCATTGCTATTACGAACCCAAAATAACAAAAGTACATACGTGTACTTTTTCTTCCTACAAAGATCTAGGAAACTGTGAATCTACGTTTTTGTGGATCCAGACCTGAACTTTTTTTCACCCATATTTGGCATCTTTTGTGTACATGAACAAGTGAAGGATCAAGACTCTAACTATTTGTTTGGTTACTCTCAGAAAAAAGTCAACATACAGTTATTTATTGTTATTTACTTTCTCATTACTTGAAATTAAAAGTTTTCACTTAATTGAAAAGAGAAATATGTTAACAAAAAAGGAAATTGAACAGTTAATTGATAAACAAAATTCGTCAAACTAATAGTAACACTATAATTTTCAGTTGTATTATGTAAACGAGATCAAGCAAGTAGAAAGCTACAGGATCAAGATTTTTGTGGATCTACATCCGGGTTTAGAAGGACTCACAATTCCCTAAAATTCAACAAAACCTTTATTGTGCACTATTTCCTTTGTTTCAATTAATTATTTGTACTAACAGAATGATCGATCGAAACACAAAAGAAGAAAAAAACAAACTTCAATCATTATCATTCTTATCATATACCATATAGTTTCTTTTTCATAAACCTTCGAATTACTATTTGTTACTATTAATTAGTCATCCAATATAATAGGTAATATTATTTTCATAGAAAATTATACGAATAGAATTTGACAATCTAAAAATATATCTCATATCTTACCTAATTGAATATAACGAACAAGTAAAAACCAAATATGTAGAAATATAATTCTTCCAAATGATGCAAAAACATCTGGCATATCAAGTTCACGTTGTATACCATCAAAATCTACTGATGAAGCAATCATATAATATGATATAGCTGCTGCTTGATATAAAACTTTTTGTGGTTCACGTAATTCAGCTTGTAAACCAAATTTCATTTTAATACGTGACATTAAACTTGGTTCGTAAAGTACAGGAAGATTACTTGATGTTTGTACAGTACTTAAACCTGTACCAACAGGTCGAGCAGTTGTTTGATTTGCTTTTGGTGATGGTTGTGCTGATAGAAAACGTTGAAAAATAACATGACTACAACGTATATAATTTAGTTGTTTATAAAATGTAAATCTTAACATCTACAATAATTCATATTTTATTATTTTTTCTAATAATGACAAAAACAAAAAAAAAGCATTTATCATTACATATATATTCAGTTAAATGATTAATGCATGCTACACATAATGAAATGGAATAAAAATAATTAATTAATAAAAATCACTGTATTTATGACAAAGACTATGGTTTTAAATTGCCGTTGTTTATTGCATTTGTTTATGAATCGGATGGATTTATTAGTAATTATTTATGTATGGATATGATGCGATGTTGATTAGGAAGAAATGATTAAATTTTATATGATTTTAGTCGTTTTTTAAATTCATGTTGTTGAAATTTACTAGTCTAAGAATTAAAAATTTTATGTTTTTTTTGGTATAAACACTGAAGCATATCAATGAATACCATGCACTTATAAATAATTTTTCTTGGCCTTCTTTGAGACTTATTGTTTATTCATACTCTTTCTATAAAATAGAAATTTATTTTAATAAAACAAAACAAACATGTACTTGAAGATCTTTTAATTTTCGATCTTTTTCCTGACGTTTTTTACGTAAGAATTGTAATTCTTGATTAATTATTACATTAGCACTACGTGAATCTGTGTGACGTAAAATCATTTTAGCTTCTTCTAAATATTGTTGATAACATTCTTCGATTGTATTTATTTCAGATGTTTTTATTGATACAATTGTTTCTTTTTCTATTAATTGCTTTTCTAAAGATGTATGCATGTATTTAGACAAAGAAAAGAAAATCTTAATATTTACCAGCATCATTTAATCATTTTTACAATTCATCAATCTGATTTTTTTGTTAGTATTAATTCTTCTTCATGATTTGTTATTACTCGATTAAGTGATTTTTTTTTTTGAGATCAATTTTTTCAGTTTGTATTTTCTGATAATAGTGTTGTATTGTGAAGAATAGAATAATTGAAAAATCTGTTGAGTTACCAAAATTCATTTGTTAATTAATTATTATTCTCTTCTTTTTTACGTAATCTTAACATTTTATTTTCATGTTATAAACGAATAAAATGTTCTCTAAAACATATAAATAAAAAAAGAAATATGAGAATTTCATTATCAATCGATGTTTTATTGAAGTGAATTTGAGGGTTAAAAATAAGTTCAATCTGATATTTCACTTCTATTACAGTGTCCTGAACTCCGGTCGGGTGTCTGATATCTGAATCATGGATCTAAATGCAAACTTGCAGGGTCAGTTCGTGTTTCGAGTATGGTATCATATCCGGACCCAATCCGATAATCAATAAGATCTCGATGTTTCAAAATATTTTTACTTTTTCAAACTGCCATAAGAGTGTAAACTGATTCGATCATGATTGACCAATTTGTTGTATTTGAGAATAGATCAAAAAAGTAGAAAAACGATATTGTTTTGCTAAACAAATTCGGTTTTAATGAAAATTCATCTACAGATGATGATAAAGAAATCTAATACATGAAGAAGAAAATGAATTATCAAAAAAGTGAACATGTATTATCGTAATCGAAAAAGTATTCATGTATGTATCGACAGTTATGATATTTGGCATCCACACCACGTTCTATTTCAAACATACTTGGACTCTTTTCTAGGTATTCATAACCTATTAGGATCTACATGATGCACATATTTCCGGTTCACAAGCAATTAATCAGTTGGAAGACTTCTCTCATGAGCCAAAAATTTTCTAGAGAAGAAAACATGGATTGGTTTACTTCAAAATCGATAATCTATGTATCGAGTTTCCTAGATTCAGCCTATTAGGAGCTCTGATCATGATCACCGCAAGAAAGAAAATGTAGTATAAATGAATATTTTTTATTTACTCTGCTTCTGCAACATTTTCAAATTCCTGTATACGTTCATTTAGTTGTTTTGTTTCTTGTATTAAATTAGATTTTTCATCTTGAAGTATAGATATCTTAAAAAGATTATCTGATTGTTTTAATTGATTTGTTTATATAAAATCTGCAAATGAAGTTCATGATAATGATCTTCCATTTCTCGTTTAGCTTTAACAATTTGATTAAGTTCTTCTAATGTACGCTTTTAACTAAAACAAAACCAATATAATCTTTTTATTGTTAATTAAAACTTAATCAAAAAACATAATTTTACTTGATTTTCTATTTCAGTATATACTTGATTATGTTCTTGATTTTCTTCTATCATTAACAAAACATAAAAGAACATCATTTATATTTCAATTCAACAATTTTCTATTCCCTTCTTAAATAGCATTCATAAGAATAAGTTGAATCGACTTTCTCATTGACATAATATTTTCAATATAAAATTGTTTTCAATCACAACTAACAGTACAACCCGAAACAAGCTGTAAAAGACGACTAAGTTCAATTTCATCAATATTTTCAGCTATAATACTAAGAAAGTAAAAGATTATTGACCATGTAATTAATTTTTTACCAATCATCTTCAAAGTAGGTATTTAAAAACCAACTAGAGATTGATTGAGTGTCTACAAATAATAGCATAAAATTAAGAATAATACTTAAGAATGAACTATACTTTAGAATAGTAATCCATTATATATTTTAGAATTGTATCTAGATTATTTGCCTAAAATTTATTTTAGATGAATAATTAAAATGAAAAATTTACGTTTTGTTTTTACCTTTATTTGATAATTATCTTCACTATTAGTAAGAATTTCTTGTAACCAAATATCATTAAAATGAGTAGAATAACTGGAAAAAATATTTTATAACAAAAATAAAGTAAAGAAATTGATAGCTAAAATATTATTTCAACATATTTCAATGATAATTCCATCGAACAGAGCTCTAGCTCCATTTATTGTTCGGTTTACACTTAATGTTTTCATCTTTGAATAAAAACTGGATTAAAATTATATTTGAAAAAATTCTTTGATATATCCATTTAATTAAACTATCACGCAAAATACATCGATCTATAATTGATTAAATGAAATTATCTGAAAATATCAAAGTTCATCTATCACATAATTCTCTTTTCTCGATTATATCTTATTTTTAATAAAAGAAAAAATGTTTATAACGAATTGTGTCCTTTTGTTTTGAATTAAATTAAAAATGGTCGTAGAGAATCTTGTGAAGAATCTGACGTAGTAGGATTTGCAAGTGTCATATTACCAAGAAGTGCTGAAAGAGAAAAGGAAAATATATTAAAAAAATTATTAGAATTTTCAAAAGAATTTTTATAGACTTGAATGTTTTCAATCATTAGAATAGCAAAAACTCAACACCCTAAATAGTTTAAATAATTCTAATCCGAGATTTCAGAATATAAAATCCGCATGCGCCGGTACACATTCTGTATTTCTCTGTATACAATTGTTTACGATCGTGCCTATTTAAACTGAGAAGTTGGAGAAGAACTGTTTTCTCTCTCTCTCTCACTCTAAAGATCCAAAAGTCGAATAATCTTAAACGTCTTTTAAAATAAAAATTTAATCACTAACAAGATTGACTTGCTGTTGTTGCTGTCGTTGCTTGAGATAAATTATCACCAAGATCAGCATTTGTAAGAGTCGATGTTGTTGTTATACCTCGACTTAATTCATCAAGCAAACCATTAAGACTTTCTGTATTTTCAACACTAAAATCTGCGATAGCATCATTTAAATATTGATTAAATTCTCTTAATAATGTTTCTTTTCGTTCAATATTTGTTCGTAAATCAGTTATACTTTCAAGTATTTGTTCTTCAGGTAATGTTCGATTAACTAATGCTTTTAATTGTAATAAATTACATTCGATTTCATTTGCTGATTCATATATACGACGAACATGTTGCTCAACAGAAGCTGAATTATGTTCAGATGTTGAAGTAGATGCTACAGCTGAACTTGAACCTGTACATGGATCTTGAAGAAGAAAGGCAATAAATGATTTGATTGATTCTTCAAAATTATTTAATAAATCATCAGATAAATTAATTGAAGACATCTGAAATAATACCAAAAAATAAAATAAAATAAAATATTCGATTCTCTTTGGTTTTTTTTCGCTCTCTTCCATCAAAATTCGCCAAAAGAATAGTACTTGTCTTTTTCTTTTCCATGATTGGTTAATATTACAATTGATTTTATCAAATGATTTTATTAACAAAATTGTTCTGTTTGTCGCTAGTATCTTAAATCCATAAAAATCTCCTATTGTGCAGGAAATATGACAGCAAGGCCAATATGGCGTCGTTGCCTTTACTAGTTTTCCGGATGTTTGATTTGACGTGTTATTGTTGTTTTTCAGGTTTATAGATTATTCTAATAAAAAAAAAACTTAATTAAGCAATGTTAGTAATATTAATGAATAAAAAATTTTACGATTAGTAAATCTATTGATTTTTTTTTAAGGGCATCTTCATATGAAAATCCACCCCGTGCAACACAATATCAATCAACAAAACGATTTGATAATCTTCAAGCTGATGTGAATCAGGTTTGTTCTTGTATTTATTGTTTTTCTCTGAATATATTAAATTAGCCTAACAAGATTTAACTTATTCATGACCCATAGTTTACATAGTTTGCTTTATGTAAATTTGTTTATGTATGCATGTCTTGTACAGGTCGTTGATGTTATGAAAGATAATCTTGATAAAGTATTGGAACGTGATGCCAAATTAAGTACACTTGAAAATCGTGCAGGTTAGTTTAATAAAAATTGATCTATATAATTTTAATGCTGCTCTTTATGTTTATGCTTATGATATGATTTTGTTTTTGTTTCTATTAATTTTCGCTACAAAAAAATTATTTTTCAGAAATTTTACAAACTGGTGCATCACAATTTACACAAAATGCTAGTAAATTAAAACGTAAATATTGGTGGAAAAATCTCAAAGTAAGTGATTCGATTTTCGATATTTGTTTGAAAACGATAATTAGAAAAATGAAAATAAATGTTAAGATTTGAGTAAGAGAATTTTTATTATTCAGACAAATTAATGCATGGATCGGAAATTTTTCTTTATACATCAAAAAGTTTAAAACGTAAAATGTTACGTGAAAATATAAAGGTAGACTTTTTTTCTTGTGATTGCTGTTGTTGTTAATTATTTATCAAAAAAAAAACAAAACTTCTTTTAAATAATTTGTTTTTATCTATTGATTTAGATGTGGATCATTCTGATTATTGTTATTGTAAGTAATGAATAAATATGCAATTTCTTTTTTGTATAAATTAATTTTTTATTTAGATCGTTCTAATCATTGTCATTGTTGGTAAGAAATATAAATAAAATAATTTCAAAAAAAATTCATATTTTTTACTATAGTTGCTATTACTCAATCGGTTAAAAGCAATAAAAATGGAAAATAAATTCAAGCCAAGTAAAAAAAATTTCTATGAGTTTTAATATTAAATTATTTAATTTATAATTTTCTTTTTTTCATTTTAGAATACTCTTTGTCACGGACACTATTTTATATCTATATGAATATATATATCGCACGTTGTTTGATTCTTGTATGCTTATTCTATTTATCTTCATTCCTTGCGCAACAGAAAAAAAAACAAAATCTATCCACGTTTGTCTGTTCTTCGTGATTTTTTTATGGTTCTTCTTCTTTGTTTGTTTATTTAATGCCGCGCTTTAAAACATTCTCTCATGTTCACATCCGTTGATATGATTTTATCTTTCATTCATTTATGTCATTTGTTTTTGTTTTGGATGTTTTATGCGCACATACCTTTTTTTTTGCGTTCTAAACTTAGTAGCTCTGTGCAGAAAAAAGAAAATCAATATCTATCAATAAGGGTAACATTTTACATTATGTCATCTTCATCGTTTGTCTCTCTTTCTTTCTTTTTTTTTTATTGAAAGATTTTTTTCTAGATTCTTTTTTTTTTTGTATAATTATCTTGTTAAATTAAATTAATTAATAACATGTAAGTATTCGATTGAATATAGATAATTTCTTAGAAAATGAATATGATATTATTTTTATTTTTGTAGGACAACTAATGGTAGTGGCGTTCCACCAGCTGCTGCCGGTGGTGGTGGTTCGAAACGACTTGCTCAACAGCAAGCTCAAGTCGATGAAGTTGTTGATATCATGCGACAAAATGTTGATAAGGTGTTAGAACGTGACAAAAATTTGTCACTTCTTGATGATCGAGCTGGTAAATTTCTCTATTTTGTTTTCAATAAAAAAAAATTTATGTAATAATTTTTTTGTTGTTAAGATAAATTACAACATAATGCAGCTCAATTTGAACAACATGCAGGCAAATTAAAACGAAAATATTGGTGGAAAAATATGAAGGTAAGGAAAGAAATGCTTTAACTCTTGCTTATGATAGAAAAACAAACAATAAACTCTAACGGGGATTATTAGATGATGATCATAATGGGAGTTGTGGGCATTATTTTTGCCATTGTGGTGATAGGTAAAAATTCTGTTGTTTTTTTTTGTTTATTTATTGCCCCTATTCAGTATTCGTCAAAAACTGCATGTTTAACTTCTGCTTTGATTATTTAGCGCCAAATACAGTTATGATTCAAAAAACAAAACAAAAAAAAATTTTTTTTTACTTATTTAGCATGGATTGGATCGAAAGTTAAAGCAGTGGCACCTGTTCTTCCATCCGGTGGTGTAACAACAGCCATTCCATCGGCAAATAATGATTTACCAAAAGCACCCGATGGTTTAGTGGATATCCCAGGTAGCGATAAACCATCAACAAAACGTC